AAGATCTCTCGATATAAAACCGTACAATACAACAGCGACCTCCAAAATGACCATGAAGCTGAATCAACACCTCACCTCACTTTAGCAGTTTCAACAAAAACACATAACCTTTCTGATATAAGGTTTTATTATAGGCCTGCATTCATTTCAGCTGGTTGCACCAAATAAACTGTGAACTGAGTGAATATTGTGATTAGTGTTGATTATCATATTGATAATATAAACATAGCACATATTAGATAATACATTTTTTAACTTTAAGTGTAAGCAAGATACAATTCATAATGTACAATAAAATGACACAATGTAGGCCTGTGTGTCCAAATATCTGTTTAAATATAAATTCATATGTAATTAGTAATATAGTACAGTATGTGTTTTGTTAATAGAAAACATGTTTACACTTTCCACTTATATACAATGTATAACAACATGGCATACAACTTGATGCATGTGTGAGTGTGAGCGTACACATGAAGGTGAGAGTATGTGTGGGGTGACTGTGGTGCAGCCAGACCCGGGCCAAGGCCACCAGACAACTGGGTAAACATACAGACCACCATATCCTCCACCCGTCTGCCCTCCATGCTCACAGGGAGCTATGAGCACCGACCCATAGATCCAATCATGTAAGGCTAATGTCTAAAACCAGGTGACGTTAACATGTACTGTATATTTATATACGGGCCAGAACACCATCACAGATTTCCTGTTCTCCTGTAATAGTACAAATCCTTGACCTTTGAGTTTCTTAATATAAATGCCTCAATGCAATGCCAAAGCACACACACACACACACACATATATATGTCAATATCAGAGTCTGAAAAAGAGGCTTCCAAATGGCTAAATGGACAAAGGAGAAAAAAATCTAATCATATCCGATGACTGATAGCACTTATGATGAGGACAGGGTTAGAATATCCCGTAGTGAAGCGGTGCATTCCCATTACTGCATCTCTCCATCTCTGAAAATGGCTTCATTAACAGGCCAGAGCCGAGAGCTCCCTTGCCGAGTATATGAACACGCTGTACCCCGAGGGTCCGCTGGAATGGCTGAGGTGAAGTCCATTAACACCCGACAGCTTGTTTTTTGACCACTAAATAAAACAGGGTATTTTTCTGTGTCTGCAGCATAAATAGCCTTTAGCTTAAGAGCTATGAAGCACTCCAGTCTGAGAAGATAGTTAAACACACCAATCGCTGTTGCTGATATTGTATCATCGCAGTTGATGAGACACAGGTTTAACTGTCCCACATGAAGAGCAACGTCACACAGCTTGAAAATGGCTTCATGCCATAACTTGTCTAGAGAGTAGTCAAGCAGGATCTAATGACTTTTTGGTTATTTGTCAGAAGCCATTTAAGTGCCATGCCTTACTCCGTTTAACTGCCACGATGGGCCTAATCAGAATACAATGGAGTATAATGTACCAAAGACAATTGAGGCTTTTCCTACTGCGTCGTTCATTATAACTCGTTCTGGATCAGTGTCACCTAAATGCCTAACATGATGTAAGTGTCTGTATCTAAACGGCGGCGAGAGGGCGGCGAGTGGGCGGGGGGAGGGCGTGATACGGAGAGGACCTGTATCTCACATAACCTGTCCTGCTCCTCTGGCATACTTCCCGATCCCTCAGGCAACCAGAGCTGGCTACCTCTGAGCCAATGACATAGCTCTTACTTTCCCAGCACTTACGCTCCAATCATGTGTCACCTGATGAAACGCTACACCCTAGTCACCATTATTCGTCTGGATACAGGAGCCTCTGGAATGTATCGGATTCCTGCCTCAGGGGGTAAGCACCTTGGAAACATGGTCCTACCTCCACCGGCTAGACTCTCCCACTTTTCCTCTCCCCAGCGATCATTCCATTCAGCAAAACCCGACTAGAGGCCTGCTTGATTTACACTGCCTCATCGCCTATCTGACATGTGCTCACATTTTTTATGTATGTCTCACGATAGAAGGACGTGCGAGGGACAGTTTCTAGTTTCGGGGAGTTTTCCAGCCGCCTCTTTTATGTTTCAACCAAAGTGTAAACATCCCAATGAACCCACAGTTGATGCTGGCTCACCATCCTCCCATGTTTGAGAGCAAGCAACTAGAAATTCTAATTAGACAACTATTTTGTCCTCTAGTGCAACAATGGTACAACCACTCTCTCCTATCTCCCCTCTCCAGAGAGCAACAGTTCTGCCGTGAGGTACTCAGGCCTGTAGTATTGAGTATCTCTGAGTCACTGGCCTGCGTAATTCAGTCTAGGGAATTATGACAGTGGAAAATCATTTCCCTGGGCCAGGGATAGGAGGCCATGGCTAATCGTTCAGTAATCTGATCTGCCTGCATACTGTAGTCAGCCGCGCCGCTAGCCTATCCAGCCAGTCACACATGTGGACACCCCCAGTGCCTGCCAACTATCTGATGGAGGCTAGCACTATTCAAAAACAACTCTCCAGGTTTTCCCGAGGATTACAGATGCTATCGGATCATTTCGCTAATGCTTGGTTTGCACTGTGCTGTTTGAGATGTATTTACTCTGCTCCTGCTCTCCAATACCCCTCACGATAGCACAGGCTAAGCCAAAAAAATGCCACAGCTACATTCCAGGCAGAAAAACGGGACTTCAAAACAAACTACTTTACAGGCTGCAATGGTACAATCTGCCTCTTGCATTCTGGCATATTAATCCAAAAGCTTGATTTAATGAGGAAACGTCGGAGTTTGCTTGTCAAACCAGCAGGTTATTATGGGTACACATCCAATTGTAGATTCCAGTATCTAGTGGAGTCAGTGGTGTTGTAGTAGTATATGAATAAGAACCATAGGGAGCAGTACTGTGGCACAAAGCAACGCTTATACCCAGCAGAGAGGGGTTGGGCGGACTTCAGTTTTGGAAAGATGCCTGGCTTCAGCCCCACTCTAAAGAGAGGTCTGCCCCCCACACACCAAGTGTGGATACAAGGGGCACTGACATGGAAAAATACAAGAGCTAGCATGTTGCTGGGCACTGCAGTACCCCACATCTACCTTGTGTAGCGTTAAATGTAATGGTATAATTACTGCAGTACAATTAAAAACGTACATCCTCCTGTGTGTGGAGATAAGTAGCAATAAAGCAGTCAAAGCTATGATTGACAACAAACAACATCCTTCTTACTGTTCCCCATTCAAGCCTAAAATGTGAAATGACAAATCATCTGTGATCATGTCTCTTCCTGATAAGCAGCCAAAACACCGCTTGGTGACGCAATCTGTCACATGCTGTCATGCCTATACCTTCTATGTTTAGGCATTGTAACCCAGTCACAGCATTTCACAGCCATATCTAAGTGAAGAGATGTTGATATATGATCAAATGGCTGCGGCAGCCTTCATCAACTGAAAGCGCTAGATCACAGCATGTTTGGCAGCCAGTGGGAGCAGTCAGATGGAGGGTTAGAACAACCAGACAAACAGTTGGCACAGATAAACAGAACACAACTTAAGATTCAGCTCTCCACAAATTTGACAAACAAATGACAGCATCCACACTTTGTCTAATCTGCAAAATGGAATAAGCCCTACATTTTTATTTCTTTATTCTTTTTTTTTTACACAAATGATGGGTGGAACATGTGATGAAAAACTTGGTTTGGGAACAGCAAAAGTGTTAATCTCATGACACATAAAAGCAGAAGGACAGCACTTTTCAGTTAACAGGAGTATCTTCTGCAGCTGAGGCGAAATGCAGGGAAAGTCCTTATGACTTTGCCAAATACATTGGAAGCGTGAGTCATTCTCCTTTAGTAGCTAATCTCTTACACACATAGGCGCACACTTGCACACACCCCAAGGCAACAGATTTCAGGCAGGTCTGGACTGCCCCTCTTTCTTTTTTTGGGCTACACAGTGACTAAGTCAAGTGTTTATAGCATTTAATAGATGCAGCTATCTCAATGGAGACTCATACAGTAATGACAGCTCTTATTTAAGAAAATACACTGCATAGTTGGTGCATTATGCAACAGCCACTCTGCCACATACAAACAACATGTTAAACACTTAAAACTGGATGTATATCCTTGTTGACAGTGCACTCCCAAACTGTCCTACTTTGAGAATGATATGGCATTGTCAGTATTATCCTTTTTGTTTTCCCCTCCCACAAACAGAGTTTATGTTCAGGACAAAGTACTTTTTAATTCTTACTAGAGGCCCAATATTTGTAATAACCCCCCTGCAGATGATTCCTACAGGTAGCTACATAATAGCCTGATGCATCATCTGTCATAACAGAGTCTGCCGTCACTGCTGACAATTAAACCAAGTTCCCCGAAACCATTTGGTCAAATTGAGTAACGTTAAAGCAGCCGCTGCATTCCCATAGTGATCTTTTATCCACCTCTGTCATGTGCAGTGCTAATCGATTAGGTGGCAGACAGTCGTATCGACCTTTAATTATAATTTGCACACAAACTCGTTTGGCCTTTTTATCGCAAGAGACACATTAGAGTGTAACGTTTATGGGAATTTCTACATTGTCGCTAAATTGTTTAAGCTAACTTAAGGCGAGCATTTGATTAAATGAGTCTACACATCGCGGCTGCTACAAAGTTACAAAAACAAGTTGCTCGCTCGGCGCTGGTGCCGGGGCTGCATTATGGTATCCGGCTGGATAAAGGAATTCCGATATTAAATCACACAACAGAGCAGTCGGACGCAGCGCTGTCCTGTGCACAAACTTCGTCCTGGCCGCTTGAAAACATAGCGTTAGCCTCCTTTCTCTGCTGCCATACGAACGAGCTGAAAGCTACACCGAGCGTCCACCATATCTCCAGCTCTTTATGCTTCCGGCCGGGGGGGACGAGTCAGGCCGAGAAACTGGCCTCATTCTCCGTCTGCGCCAGACAACGTTCACTAGCCTGGCCTGGGAGACCGAGCAGCGTTGCTCTCGGTCGTGTAACCAAACATGTGCGAAAACACAACGACAAGACTTCTGTTGCGTCGATGTACTCACCTTGTCTGGGTCTAGATGGATTTGGGACAACACAGTCCGGCTGGAATGAATGCGGGGTTGAGGCACGCTGCGCGCATGTCGTCGTCGTCGTCTCGGTTTGCTGTCGGCCGTGATGTGGAAGCGGCACAGCGGACTCGGCTGGGAGAAATCGGGAAATCTGAGAATGCCCCTCTCTTTCTGCAGCTCGGTGCACCCGCAATGACCCATAACTGTCGACAGGGGGCGCCAGTAGGGCGCATTTTTGTCTCTTGATATTCGCATACATGTGTACAACACAACTCCTCAAAGAAACAATCAACGTACGATCATATTCCAGCAGGGGTTTATCTGCATCCCTGCTCTTTCTGTGGTGTCACTGTAGTGGCCTTGATGTGCTACTGTGAATTGAATTGTGCAGTGATACTGAGATTACCCTGAAAGTTATTACAACTCCTATTTCACAGATAGTCGTGATGATTGTGATTAGTCATCACAACTTGCACATTACACAACAAGCACCCATGCAAAAAAACGTCTTTTAAATTTGTATAGGCCTAATCAGTGTTGCATTAAAAGGGCAATGGTCTTACAAACTAAATATAATTAAACACTCACCCAGTATTCCTATAATATTACTACAAGTACAATGTCAATCTCGTACTCAGTCACAGTGATATTATAATTCTCAAGGTATTGCCATGAAGTTCTAAGGAACTACTTTTTTTACATTTACATTATTTCTAATAATAATATCTCCAAATGATAACAACATTTGTGGCAGTGATCATTGCTACAAAGAATGGATAACAAACACCATCTGCCTTGAATTATGCCTACATAGTAAACTGATAGCTGGCTTTCACTAAACATAGTTTCAGGACAACAAATAGCCTATAAATGAGTATATAAAAATGATTCTAGGCCTAAATGAACAGGAATACACAAACTGAGCACAAATGAGAACCAATGTCACAGTGTAACACATAGGAACATATGAACATATAACATCAACAGAACCATCAACGCCACTCTAAGGATACGCTTTCTTGTATGGTGCTCAAACATAGAGCAGCTGTGATAGTAGTAAACCTACACGTCCCCTCTGACCTTGTGACTCATGAGGTTGGTGATTTTGATTACGGAGCGGCTAAATCTGAGACAAAGCCTTCCTTCAAAATACATAGCTTTGGCTGTCTCATCCACATCACATGATAGAGGAGATAGGATCACACGACTCATTAAGACAAAGAAGGCCACGCTCTCAAGGTTTACTTTAGTGTCCCACTAAACGCAGGGCAAGACACAGACTGTGTGCCCAGCTACATCAAAAGCGGCCAGCGAGAGTCGAGATGTTTTTCATTTGGATGTAGGAGAAAAAGTAGCAGCAGACTTCCTTTTCTGACCTCCTGCATGGCAGCTGCACTCTGAAAGAGTTGCCAGGCCTGTGTCTAATCCCTGTCCTTTGACTCCATAACCTCACCCTGACCTTAAATAAACATTATGGGCTTAATGCCCATCCGTAATCTCAAACATCCATTGCCCCACTAATTGGAGTTTCACACAGCAAAGACAGCCTGACCTGAACTGGAACAGGTGGATAGATAAACTGTAAGTGGCCGACACAATTGGCTTAGAAAAGCTCCCACACAGCAGCCAATCAGTCTCTCTCTCTCTCTCATTCACACACAGTACTCACACCCTTTACTTAATTAAAAGTAGTACTATCATGATGTAAAAATACTCAAATTCTTACTTAAATAAAGGTACAGTGGCATTATCTGCAACATGTACAAATGTACTACTAGTGTCACAAGTAAAAGTACTAATTTTGCAGAATGGCCACTGATATTTCATTATCAAGGTTTTGTGATATTTATATGAATTATATTAGACCATTGTTTTTATTGCTGATGCATTACACAGACATTAACATCTTGACAACTGATAAGTGTGGTGCTTTAAGCGTTAAGTACTTTATTGATGCTGAATACAAATACATAGTAGTATCATACAGGAATGTGTATATGAAGTAGCCTACAAATACCTGTAAGTCTGCAAAGATAATGGCACACACTGTATTAGGCCTACATTTCCTAATTACTCACATAAATGTAGACTATGTCTACTTCTAAGCAGCAGACACTAACGTTACTTATGATACACAGCCAATGTTACTACCCCCTATATTTATATATTTCTTATATGCCCTATATTCTCGTCCCTTCCTATATTTACTTAATTTTTTTTCTCACTAAGATTATGTCTGATAGTTTCTTGAAATAGGGCGACACCCTTTGGTCGGACGTGGTTCTCTGGCGCGGTGCATTGTGGGCTGACACCTCTTGTGGCGTCGGTCGGTTGTTGGGCCCGCTTGGCTCACATTCTGCAAAATGGCGACGTCCCTGGGATCCAACACCTATAATAGACAGAACTGGGAAGACGCGGTACGTTTAATCGGCATTATAGATTACAGAGCAAGGGTTACGACTAAAACGCAGTCCTTTCCAGTTAAAATCGAGGATTTAACGTGATTATAAAATCAGCCAGTTTGCCTCTAATTTGGCTGTTTGCTTGGTGTCTAGTTAGCCTCCCGTTAGCTACTAGCAACGTGGCTGCTACCTTCATAATAACATATCTCTGCAAATGAACGTTAGCTAAAGTGTTGACGTTAATTCATACAGCATCACAGTTTAGTCCGGACCCAGAAGTATTGGGCTAAATTGGGTGGGCGATAAACAAACTGCCTCGGATAATTTAACCGGAACGTACTTTGTGCTAAAGGTAGCTAACGTTATCTAAGCTAGCCAAGGCTAGCACTCGCAGGCTAATAATAATAAAACGAAGTCGTGTTAATTAACCTTAACGCTAATCAGATAACTCGTTCTACGTATAAGTGGGCTTTGCTGAATCGAGCCAGGCCGGCACATCGCAACGTTGTTTTGGATGAGGTATTCGGCAATGTGAACTCGTATCGTAGAGATGAACCTGTGAAGTCACGTTAGCTTAGCAGGCGCCCATAGAAAAGGAACATATCCGCCTACTTCACGGGTCAGTCTTTACTTTGCATTAACGTTACGACTCATCGGCATGTTAGGAAAGTGTAGATTTTGTTATAAACAGCTCTGAGGTCCATTCAAAATTGTTTGTGCGTATTTTGAGCCATGATTGTTGTTTGTCAGTCATCATCATACAGACAAGCTGGTCATTGTAGTGGAAAACTAACGTTAACTGATGTAACGTTGCGTTTGAGCTAAATTGAAGTTGTCATAAATCCAATCTTAACTCTTCCATTTACTGTGCACATCTTATGAACTTCTTAAAAGGTCCACCCTGCTATATAAGGCAAGAAATCAGTTTCCTCTCTTGAGCCATGACACAGTAGGGCCTTTGGCCAATGTTGGTTTTATCAAGACACCAGAATATAAACTTTGCAACCTTAGACTATGTACTTAATGTTTGAGCCACAAGAGCTGCTTATATTTAGGTGTTTGGCTGAAGCTGTCAGTGAGTTGGATTAAGGCAAGGTCATTTTCAGCAGCTAGCACTTGGACTGAAACAGCATCCTTCAACAGATGGCAGAGTAGGAGTGAGCAAGTCCATTGGCGCTCCCTGCATCCCCACATGTAACCTAACCAAGGTGCCCACACCAGAAAGCAATACAGAGAACATGGGCCAAGTTACTGCTTCAGATAACTTGCGTCAGAGGACTGCTGGATGACTGACAGATATGGGTCTGAATAACAGACACGGGGCATGGTTTTTATTAAATGAACATCTGTTTTCCTTTGACTTCCAGGATTTTCCAATTCTGTGTCAGACATGTTTAGGAGAAAACCCTTACATCCGTATGGTGAGTGAGCATTACTGTGTCATCATAATAAATTGGATGTTATTTTCTTGTAGTGCTGATTCCAGTAGGTGTGTGGACTCAAATGTGTTCATGCTTGTTTTTACAGACCAAGGAGAAGTATGGGAAAGAATGCAAGGTGTGTTTTTCTCAATATAACACTTTAAATCTTGGTTGTGTGTCACACAACACAGTTTAGCTTAAACTTGTAAGTCCATGTAAGAATTTTTTTTTTTTATGTTATTGTTCATTCTTTGCCCATCAGATTTGTGCTCGACCATTTACGGTGTTCAGATGGTGTCCAGGGACACGGATGCGTTTCAAGAAGACAGAGGTCTGTCAGACCTGCAGTAAAATGAAAAATGTTTGTCAGACATGTCTGCTGGATCTGGAGTATGGTGAGTCTCTGCGACTGACTCCTTTGTATTTTGTAAATGTAATTTTGCGGTCCCCTGAAACATAGAACTATGTGAGTTTAACCCTCTTGTCACACCGTGTGTTTTACAGGTTTGCCCATCCAGGTCCGAGACACTGGGCTGTCAGTTAAAGATGAGGTTCCTAAGTCAGATGTGAACAAAGAGTACTACACACAGAACATGGAGAGAGAGGTATAATGGCTTTCTGATTCAGACAAAAAAACGTTTGTTGTCTAGAGCTTCAATAGCTAAAACTAGCTTGTCGGGATTTCAGAAATTTCAAGTTCATATACTTTACCTACAGTGTACTTGCATTGAAACTAGTAAACCATTTCAGATATGATTGATACCTAAATACTGTTGCATTAAAAAACCTGCGTTTCAGCTTTCCTTTATAAATTTACTATAATATTTTGTGATGTACATGGAGAGAGGAAAGTTACTGTGAAATTGTTGTGGCAGCAAGGTTTGGACAGGGCTTAGCTTGTCTTTATTTTCATAATAAATACAATACTGAGTAAATGCATGTTATAACCATTAGTAGCGCTTTAGAGCACCTATAAAACAGGCCCAAAACAGGACATCCCTATAGTCTGTGTTTTTTTTTTTTTTTTTTAAGTTGGGATTTTTTGTCCTCATGTCTGTTTGGATCCTGGTCATTGATCCCTCATGTCTGTGTGTTCTTAGATAGCCAACTCTGATGGCACACGGCCGGTGGGCCAGCTAGGTAAAGCGCCAAGCTCTAGTGATATGTTGCTGAAACTGGCCCGGACCACACCATATTACAAGAGGAACCGGCCGCACATCTGCTCCTTCTGGGTGAAGGGAGAGTGTAAGAGAGGGGAGGAGTGTCCCTACAGGTGAGTGACACTTCAGAAAACAGGCTACAGTTGCTGTTCCTTAGGATGAACTTGGCAGCGTGTGGTGGAGCTGATTGTTTCTCATTTGATGTATGAATTTTAGATTTATTTAAGTACTAATTACCTTAGGCAAAATGGAAATCGGTGTTTTCTTATGGTTTAGTTTGACTTTAATGTTTTTATATTTGTTTGTGGTTGTTATGTCAGCATTGTCTCATTTTGCTTCTCCTTTTCACACAGGCATGAGAAGCCCACAGATCCTGATGACCCGCTGGCTGACCAGAACATAAAGGACCGTTACTATGGCATCAATGACCCAGTTGCTGACAAGCTGCTGAAACGGGCCTCAACTATGCCCCGACTAGACCCGCCAGATGACAAGTCCATCAGCACCCTCTACATAGGGGGTTTGGGAGATACTGTCACAGATGGAGATCTCAAGTAAGGATTTATTTTTCATAACAAGCTCTTGTACAACTTCCTGTGGCCATTGAGAGTAGGTTTTTACTAATTTCGTACTCAACAGTTACAATTTTAAACCTTTACTTCCAGTGTTTTGGGTCTATTGGACATTTATCTGTTTTATTGCAGGAGTCACTTCTACCAGTTTGGTGAGATTCGCACCATAACCATAGTCCAGAGACAGCAGTGTGCCTTCATCCAGTTTGCCACGCGGCAGGCAGCTGAAATGGCCGCTGAGAAGTCCTTCAACAAACTCATCATTAATGGAAGGAGGCTCACTGTCAAGTGGGGAAGGTAAGAAGCTGATCACAATGGTTATGCATTGGGGTGTGCGGGGTTTTCTTAATTGTGATGATTATAAAGACAAGAACACTGAACCCACTTTAGTCCCACCCAAGATTTTATTGTCCCGTTCGGGAAGAGGAGAAGTATGTAAAATACTTAGAATTCTCTGATGCACAAAATAAGCTTTTACACTGGTATCCTCCTCCCATCCCTATTCAGGCACATTCTGTAGGTTTGAATACACCATCTTTCTTGTAGCCTCTAGGTCATTTCAAGGGGCTTTTCAGGTAACATACAGCAGGAGGGCGTCTTTTGTACGTGAGGAAATGAAATACAGCTAGAAGAACCACTTGGATACCAGTACATTTGTCATATACAGTTCGGGTGTCCATTGCCAACCTGACTCCTGGACACTGAATTCATGCTCAAGCAGCCATGCTTGTTTATATGCAACCCCCCCAAAAAACTTAAGTATACTGAAGGAAAAAAGTATACTGAAGTAATAATTTGCTGCCGGCTGTATGTTTGAAATTAACAGCCTGCAGTATCATCACATTTTACAGTTTTTACAGTAAGAGCTTTACCACTGCGAAGAATTTGTGCAGGATGTTAAATGTTCTGTTATCGACACAGGTTCGCCGCTGCTATTTATTTTTATTTTCTGTCTACTGTACTCAGGGCTACTCTATGTGATATTACCTGATTTTATAATAAAGGTTGTGTGTATATTGAGGGAATAGCTTGTGGTGTTCATCCTATATAGTATTATTAGTAATATATAATAGTTCCACAGACTTCGCAAGGAGCACTGAAGCTGTTGTGGTGGTCTGACTCCATATTAAGATACATTATAACCCTAACCCTATTATACATTTTTTTTTTTCCTTTTATTTGTCACTGCTCTGTGTATATATGTAACTATATGGTTTGTCTTTTTAGGTCCAGGCAGCAAGAGGGAAGGATGGCATCAAAGATGGCGTCAGTGAGATGGGTACCAGACTTGATCCTGTACCTGGACTGCCTGGAGGTGAGTCTGCAAACACAGGGAGAGTTGGAATTTGTGTGTGTGAACATGTGTATGGATAGATGTAGTCATGTGAGAGCAAGTTAAAGTAGTATTTAATGTCTACATTGTGCCAGTAGGTGTTTGTGTGTCATGTCTTTAATTTTATTGCCCTTTGTACTACAGCTCTTCCGCCACCACCTGCTTTAGATGAAGAGGCTCCTGCAAACTACTTCAACCTGGACCCTGGCACCTCTCCTGCTGTCATGAACATTGCTCTTCCCCCACCTCCGGGCATCAACCCGCCTCCTCCAGGTAAAATCATAACCATGACCTCATAGATGCTGCCAATATCACGTACAGAGTGTCTCAAAAATAAGATAATAATTAGATCTATTAAAATAATAGATAATAATTATATAATGTATCATTTAATTCAGGCAAAATGAAATTGCAAACCTGCAACACCGGCTCTAAAAAAAAAAAAAAAAAAAAAACTTCCCGAGAGCATTTGTTTTATTGATTTACTGTTGGGATGTAAAGAGACAACAACTAAGAACAAATAATACCAAAAGGCTTCTGAAATGAACAACCTACCTCAGCTTTAAATTTGGATTTAACGATTTAAACATTGAGTTAGACGCTAACACTGTATTCTCTTTTTGAATCTATTTATCAGGTTTTGGCCCTCCAATGTTTCACCACATGGGTCCAATGGCTCCACCTATGCCACCTCCAATGAGCATGAGACCTCCTGGTCAAATCCACTACCCTTCCCAGGATCCTCAGCGCATGGGCGCCCATGCCGCACATGGCTCACGTCATGGTGATTAGCTGCTAGAGTGAAATCATACTGTGATTAGGCGTCAAACCTGGTCAGGTGCTTTTACTTCAGATGCTGTCAAAGGGCCTGAAATCTGCAGACTACTTCTGGGAGAAATACATTCATAGAAGATAACATCTGATTTATTATGCCCCCTGCAGTGCAGTGAATGAACTGAACGAAGCGCCATCTGTGTCTGGAGAGACAACAAGATGTCTTTGTCACTACTCGCAGTTAAAAAGCACCAGAACAGCATCTGAACAGTGGAAGATAACATTGTAAAAGACGTCAAACATGAGAGTAATGGCAAATGTGATCAGGGCCTTTTTTTTTTATTATTATTTTTTTTTTTACTACAGGCTCCTGTGGTTTGGAGCCATTGTACATATAAAAACTGTATACTTTTAGGTTAAACTCTATGTGTAACATCGTGCAAAGTATCACGTGGGGTATTAAACCTGTTCGTTTTCAGTTGCATTGACTTTTTTTATTGTTTATTTGACACAATCTTCATATTCCACAGCATAATGACCTAGTTTATTGTAAACCTTTCTTTGAATGTTGTTTTCACTTGTCATTAAAATGATGCAGTTGTCATTGATCATCTGAGAGTGCATATTGTTCATTAATATTCACGCATTTACTATTGTGAAAGAGCAGTGTTATCTCAAACTATTGCGCTTACACAATAGTAGGGGACAAAGGGGGGATGAAGATGTAAATCGACAGCGTGAAAGGTAACAGATGAAGACTGGATTGGGGGGCGGGGGCGTTGGGTGTTTAGGCATTGATTGGATCGGATGCTGCTACGGGTGATTTAAAAAAAAAAAAGTATTGTCCAGGACTCTACTGCGGTAATGAACTGATTCCAGCATCTGTGAGTTTGCCTCAGCTGGTCAAACCACTGAACAGTAGCAAACCACTTGATATATCGTGCGAGAGTGTTTTATTTATTTTTTCTTGCCCCTGCAGTTCCCACTAATTAACAGAGAAATTGTCTTTGTGGCAGGAGAGAAGCAAGCTTAGCCAGTCTTTAGCTGATCAGCCCTTTTTTCATAGTTCATTAGATTCAGGGCAGTAATCAATTCCCCATCCCCTGGGTGCTCTGTTGAAGTTGGGCCGCCGACACATGCGGTCCAGAGCGATGCCGGGCAGTTTCTGGGATTCCACTGCATCAAAGCTAATCACTGGGATCACCCTCTTGCTGGCCACAGCTCCCCCGAATGGCATAGCAGATCTGAGAGACAAAGAGATAGAGTCCTTACTGTGCAGGCCGAATGCATTGTGTTTTATGTTCCTGGCAGAAAACAACCCTATGTATCATATTTCTCAGACTCCATCCCATACGGGGGGGAACGTTGACATGACACTTAAGACCCAGTCTGGTCATCTGATTTTAACTGGTCCAGTTATCAGAATAAAACCACCCGGGAACAGGATGACTCTGTGTGTGGTGAACCCAACCTTTTGTACTTGTGTAGCTGTTGACTTCAGATTTAATTAAGGCATCACATTTTCATAGTAATCTTCAGGGTGTAAACAGATCCCTCCACAGGGGGTACAGTTCCAGACTGGTTGGCAGAAACAAAGTGATTGACAGCCCTAATTGACTAAAGTCTGAATTTGTCTTTCATATATTCTGCTTCATTTTTATTATTTTTTTTCCATCTGTCCAAGTTTAACCTTTGTGACGCCTCACCACAGTGATGCAATTCCCTGTGTGCCATGAGAAAAGTGATTCCCTTTCGTGCGTAATCTGTCTTGCGCGCGTGTGTGGCGGCAGCAGGGGGGCATTATAAACTCCCAATAGATCATCTGTCAAGAGCCGGGGTTCAAAATAACCATCATGCAGCCACACTCCTAAGGAGGTGCAATCCAGAGACAGGATTCATTTTCAAACTGGAAACATGGAGTGGAGCCCAGGGAAGAGATGTTTGTGATGGATAACGTGGTTAGGTCATGTGTGGGTCTATTTGAAGATGGATGGGTCTCCACACCTGTGCTTCCAAATGAATAGGGCATTTTAAAAATAAAGGAAAGGCAGATTTACCTGTTGAAGCACCTGTAGTTGGCAGGCTGTAGTCTTTGTGGGAGCTGGGGCAGCTGGGAATTGAGAGTGTTCAGGAGCTCTTCGTTGCCTCCCAAAGCCTCCCTCCACGGGGACCAGTAGGATTTGGGGATTACTGTTGTGTTGAACTTCTCATGAGGAACTTCCTTCAGAGGACCAGAATATCCTGACAGAAATAGACATTTAATGTCAGTGGGTAAAAAATGACATACCACTGTGAGTAAAGTGAAAGCTGTGTTACTTAAATCATTCTGAGTAATTTCATCTTTTAAATTCAAATTGAGCAAAATAAGGTCCCCTGTGTTACTAAAAATTGATATTCCTTGGGTTTGAAACCAATTACAAAACCCATTAGATAATGTCAAAAAAAAAGCAAGCCCCGACCAAGCAAAAACAGATCTAACACACTTATAAATCTCTTTGATGTCGCTCCTGTCAACAAGAGCAACTAGTAATTAGATCTCAATTTGAATCCCCGATAATAAATAGCGCTTAGCTCACTGTCAGTCAGCCTGGAAGCAGTGCCTTCTGTCAGGCCAAATACACAACAGCACTTAAGATGGTTTCAGATAACTGCTTTCTGCAATCTGCCGACTCTACTGGCTCTGATTGTAATAAAACCAATTTATTTGCTCAACACATTTCCATATGAAAAGGGAAACACTGACAGATCAAAGTGACATACAGCGTCCATGCTTTGCCCAAGCATTTGGCATTGTAATGAGCTAGTCTTATATCCTCTCTTCACCATGCGTTACCATTTACCTGGAGCGAGGACGTCAGGACTGCCCTTCTTTGCTACAGTCTTCTGAAGGTTCACGACCAGGCTATGCTTACCAGCGATGGAGAAGGCCTGGTTCTCTTTCCCACCCTGTGGTTCTGGGATGATCTGCTGGGGAGGAACAGCCTCTGGATGGACCTGGATGATGACGTCAGGGTTACCTCAGCTTGGATTTGAGACTTTTTTCTTTTTTTTTTTAACAGAAAGCCTGCATTACAAACTTGGAGATGTGGGATATAAAAGAACAGTAGTTTTTGGATGTTGTCCTAAATTTAAGACACAAATTAAAGCCCTCTCAGCCTCTGCTGCTTTGATATCGTCCATTCTTTTACAAATGTGTCTCATGTATGTGCAATAGGCTACTAAACTGCTGTAACATCTCCTCTTACATCGATCATTGTTCTTTAAGGGAATCACTGTCTGATGATTTTTTTTACAAAATGTCTCATAAATCAAGTTAGAAACAACCATTTTGCATCTGCAATTATTGTGGTGAGATGTTAAATGCCTGTTGCTGTACTCCAAAGAAATACGACAGCAGATCCAGAGAAAGGTTGTGGAAGAGTCAGACATAACTGGCCATTAATTATAGCTCTTCGATAAATCCAGCACACTAACAAGCTGTCATTAAGCATTAACTAGATGTCAGAAATGCAGGCACGTCGCACATTGTGGGTGTGTGGGTTGCAGTAAGTTCAGGGGATATGAGTCATTATGTGCTATGCACCAACTCTCTGTTCCTTACATTGTTGGTATAGTAAGCACCGCCGGCAGCGTTCTCCAGTGTGAACTTCTCGACCCTCCTCTGCCTCTCCTGAAACATTCGAGAGCCTCGATTAGATGGAAGGTTGAGCTCCTCCATCATCACGTCCTTTGGCACGCTGATCTTCTTCCCCAGGTTCAGACCGTCTGGTACAACATGACAGACAAGTGGAGCTTTTTAAATAAGTGATTGCATCTAATATTCCAATGCATTTTCAACATAGCTAAGAGAAATCTAATTTTTAGGCTGTGTGGCAGGGCATCAGGTGACTAGGTAATTCTTACCCTGCATAAATACATGTGCAAAGGCAATGATGACATTTGAAAAAAGAAGGAAAGTAGCACGGACTAATAAGGACCTATTGCAAATCGTGATGTCTCCTCTGATCTTCCTGTTTCTGTGGACTTTAAATAGCTGAGGGGCAAAGATATAAAAAAAAAAAAAACAACAACTGTGTTCAGCATCACTAAGTTGGTATATGCACAGCTTTCACTCAGGGTCTCTTCTCCTGTTACATCATGGCACAGTGGAAGGTCTGAAATAGCCTTAAGATGATGTCAAGGGGTGTGTAATGTTTGTTGTGCTCCAGGGTTTCAGGGGTAACTTGGCATATAAATAGGATCTTTGGATGAGGGACTCATGTAAGAGCGGATGGCCCTCTTTCTCACACATGAAAAATGTTAGGAGAAGTCTGGGCATGTGCCACCCTTGAGGAGCTGCCTTTGATCGGCCTGTGTAAAATTAAGGGTGGGAGTCACATTTTGCTGAGTTTGGGTTTCAAAGACAGTGTTAGAAAAACAGACAACTGGGATGGTCCCTGCTGGAATGTTTGGAGAATTTGAACAACACACTGGCACTCCTGGGATTTGGGTGTACCACACTGCTAGTGTCCCAGGCTGTGGGCTAACTTGTTTGGACGTTTGGCTCAATTACATCTGACAACCCCTGCTGTGATCACCCACTATGACAGTTTGAATATGAGTGCAAATACACACAAGAGCATACCAAGTTGTTGACGCAATATTAAGTAACCCATGTGAAGTGCTTCATGAAAAACTGCATAAATATTAATGTAAACTAATGTGTATATTTATTTGTTTACTAATGCGTGTATTTGTTTACTTCCAAATATTATTATGTGTATTTGTCAGTTCTATTTCAGTATGTGCAGGCACAGACTGGAACAAAAGCAGATCAATGCACAATCTCATCCCACCCAAACTTACCTCTCCTGACCTCATTAGAACGAGCCTTAGCCTGCAGCATCTTCTGCTTAGTCATGTCATCCAGGCCTGACTGCATCATCATCATCATTATATTCCTTTGATGGACACATGTGAATTATTATTATTTTTCGAAATTGCAATTTGTTCCCTTTGTCACTAAAGTATTAAAGTATAAGAGTATCTTATTTTGTGACAAAAGCAAAAAAAAGCACACTTCTATAGATGTCCTGTAAATTAAATATATCTCAAGTCCTAAATTAGGCACCACTCTATTAAGGGCACCTCCATTTTGTCATTTTGGCTAAATTACTCCAGTATTTCTCCTTCATTCCAGTCAATGCCTTTTCTGATATTGTGTTTAAGTTTCTAAAATTAAAATACCTATTTACTTATTTGGGTGAACTATCTTTTTCACATTTCACCCATTTCATGTATAACTAGAAAAAAAATCAAATCTCTCCAGCATCATAAAAATGTAGTTCCCTGTTTACTGTTCATTAAAGGACCTGAGGCTTCAACACTAACACTTATTTCAGTCAGACTGACCATAATGAAGGCCTACACTCCCCTCACCTCAGTCCTTACCTGTGTCTGCTGCCTGTCTGTATGACGGGTATTGGAGGTAGTCTGGATGGTCGTGTGTGGGTTTTCCGTACTGGAGACAGGATGCTTCCACCCTCCACTCTGACACTCCTCAGCAGAGAAGGAACAGTCGGTATAAAACTCATCCCAGGGTGCCTTGGGTTCTTACCTCACTGGGTAATTTTAGCAGAGAGAGAGAGAGTGAGGATGGAGGGTGGAGTTAGGGGGGTGGATTAAGGGGAAGGGGCAAGTATAAAGATTTACATCCTGACCTCGAACCTCTTTGATCATAAAAATCTGATCTCCTCTGTCTGTCTGTGTGCATGTGTGCGTGTACGGCAACAGCTGCTGTCAAGACAGTGACACTGAGCTCTCAGAGAGGCCAGGCATCCAAGCTCTCCGCTGCAAACACAGACACACAAACACCTCCCTGTTTTCTCTCTCTCTTTTCTTGCTTCTGTAAAGTGCTTTGTAAACTGCTCTGCCATATATGTATATCTCAGATACTTACACCATGAGTTTCCCACATCCAGACAGTTTTACAGGGGGGCAGATTGATGGGGTTGCTGAGATCAGAGGTTGCAATTCAGTTTTCCAGTTTGGGGTGAAAGGTTAAACTCTGTGGCAGTTTGCTTTTCCATATTTGATGGTGTGAGACCTTTAACATACTTTTCTTTCACAGTGCTGTGAGTTATGGGCATTCTACATACCTCTTAGTTATTCAGTAGTGTATAAAAGATTGTAATAAATAACAATACCGTGTTTTTGTGACTGTGTTTTCATTTATTTGCTGCCTGCCAACTGCTGAGAAACTCCAGTTGTGAGTTCTGCGTGAACTCGCATTTTGTGTTAGGCTAGCAGTGATGCCCTTCAACTTTATATTTGGTTGCCCTTTCTGAACTGAAGTTAGACTATCGAGCAGTTATTTCCCCCCACAAATTGATTCATTGAGCTCAGCAGGAGCCTGGAGGGAAAAAACATTTTCCTTATCCCTGTTGAGATTGAATATCGATTTTGCACCTGTTCTGCTCCACAATGCCTCTATCCCCCAGCGGGATTCCCCCCTGGCCTCAGAAAGAAAATGTGGAGTCATCCTGAGTAACAGAAAACACACAAGTGAAGTTGAATATTAGCTGCACGCTAAGGGTTTATTTAAGTAGAAAAGGCTTTTTTCGCTTTATTAAAAGCAACCAGAGCAGGCTAGTAGCCTCCCTTTAACCAATAAAATTCCAGCTTTTTTGTGGCGCTGCATCACACATAGCCTTAGTGATTAGAATCAATCTACCAGCTGTAGTTTATTCAGACCTGAGGCTTATTACAATTCATTTACAAAGAGTCATTATGACACATCTATTGATAATTTATTGATTTTAAAAAGTCATTTTAGGAAAGGACAGTAACAAGATAATGACAAATTGTTGTGACCGGTGACATCTGTGTTTGAGAGGTGGCTCCCGCAGTGTGTTCATGTCACATAGAGAGAGGTGCACAGCCACCAGCCGTTGACAGCTGACACAAGAACAATAGAGGCCCATTCAGACTCAAGGGTTTATGCAATTAGGGCACCTTTAAAACCATTAGCCCTGTTGGCTTTCAGATGAAACCTTATTTGGCTGGCTAGTCTGTGGAAGTTCAGAGCTCCATAGGTGGTGTTGAGAGCAAGAGAAGACAAAAGCAGCAAAATTCCGTTTATGCCTTTTTATAGCTTCACGCTGAAAGCAAAATGCATTAATATTCAGCTTGCAGGACTGAAAAAGTCATCATTCTGAACTTTTCTTATTCGCTTGCAGGTGCCTTTGGGAGGACTGTTGGAAGTCAATCAGTTGGGAAGCTGTCTTGACAGGTGCTCATTTTAAGCTGCAATCCAGAGAGACATAATGTACGGGCTGCTGTGTGAGAGTCTTCATGACTTCATCAAGGAGTCTTATGGGGATGATGTGTGGAAGCTAGTCAGAGAAAGAGCAGATGTCAGGCTGCACTCCTTTGTCACCCACCAGGTACAGTGTCTGCATTTCTGAAATGAGTGATATGATTCTGTATGTATGCACTGAATAGTAATATACTTATGAGGCCTGTGCTGCCTGTGCACATCTAAGTGAACCTGCCAGCTTTTGTCTGAAGGTTCATAGTCCTGGAGACAAAATATATATACTTTTCTCATTGATGATATATATGTGTGTCTGCAGGTGTACAGTGAGAGTGTGATTCCCCGTATTGCAAAGGCAGCTAGTGGAGTGACAGGCACGCCCTACAATGAGCTGATGAACTCCTGGGGTGTCTACTTCCTGGGCTTTGTTGGCAAGTACGGCTATGACAGGATCCTCAAGGTGAAAAAATGATCTTAGGCTCAAAACTGTCAGTCTGTCTGTACCTCCTTAAAACTACTATTATGCAAGTGAAAGGTTGTGGTTTTTAAATCCCTGCTTGTCTTGCTGCCTCATAGAGTGTTATTGTGTTTTTGAACAGTAGGTTCATGCCTCTTTATATAGTCATTAGACAACTGACAAATGAACATGTAACTCACACACCAGTCAGTATAAAATTAGGGCATTTCACACAAATGTACAACCTTAAAGTTTTCCATAAATTCCAAAATAAGGGGTTATCAGTGCATTACATGCACTTATACAGGCATACACACAAGTTTCTGTCCAGCCCTTATTATCAACCAATATATGTTTTGAATATTTCTGCAGGGTCATGTTTTGGAGAATTACGAATTAAGAATTTGAGTACCATAATGTAGTCAGTGCTTTAAAATCATCAAATCATTTTAAAGCAAAGTAGGAGCAAAAAATGATTGATGATAATTAAAGGAGTACCTCAGTAAATTAGGATTGCACTTTGATGAAGGTGAGATACTCCCAAATGATGGATTATGAAAAGCAGCAAAAGAGAGGATATCCTGATTTGTAGTCACTTGTGTGGGTCAAGCCCCAAATATGCTTGGTCCTAGAAATGTTTTAATGTTTTATCCTCAAGCACTAGCCAGACCTCCAGAGCCACAGAAGACACTATACAACTGTTTTTACAGCCTGAGTAGTTCTCCTCTTGACAAGTAATCTGCACTTTTTGTCTTAAATCAGTTGAATGTCTTTGATAAAAAGTTAGAGCAACAATTCCAGACATGACCTCTAAACGTCTCTGCCTTCAGGTGCTGGGCCGTCATGTACGTGACTTTGTCAATGGCCTTGATAATCTCCACGAGTATCTGCGCTTCAGCTACCCCAAGGTGCAGCCTCCAACCTTCTTCTGCCAGGAGGAGTCTGCCACTGGAGTCACCCTCCACTACAGGTCTGAGTCGAGCAGGATGAAGAGGAGGTGGAGGGCAGATGGTTGGAGTGTGTGTGTGTGTGTGTGTGTGTGTGTGTGTGTGTGTGTGTGGGGGGGGGGGGGGGCAGGGGGGTCATGATAGACTATCAGGCATCAGACATAAAAGTAGAAGGACAGGGCAAACAGAGACAAAACTGTGTGATTAAATTCTTTAGAATGATATTGATTCCTCCCTGCTGTGACCTGCAGGAGTAAACGCAAAGGCTACCTCCACTACGCCATGGGTCAGTTGAGGCAGATGGGGAAACAGTTCTACGACACAGACATCCATGTGGAGGTGCTGTCTGAGCAGATGGTCGGAGACTACTCCCATGTCACCATGAGGTACACACGCTCACAGCTTTTTCACTTGTGGTGGAAAGTAACTAAATACATTCATTCAATACTTCTACTCCACTACATTTATTTGGCAGCTACAGTTTTTCCTGATAATACATCTGTACTTTTACTTAAATACATTTTTTAATGCAGTATTTTTACGGTGTTGTTGTATTGTTATTTTTACTTATGTAAAGTATCTGAGTACTTCTTCATCCACTGGTTATGCCTCACATTAAACTTTATAAAACATATTGATCTTTATGTCTGTGCAGGCTGAACTTCGACAACTCAGCCTACCGCTACATCATGAAGGAGGATGAGGAAGAGCAGGAGATTTTGCCCATCACCTCAGACTTCTTCTTTGAGGTCTTCCCCTTTAACATCGTCTTCAGGCAGGTAATCCCTTTGAGTTACATTCCTGAACTTATCAAGTGCAGTTAACAAATGAATTGATGCATTAAATAAATGAACAATGCAATGCAACTCTTTAATTCGTTAGGACATGGTGGTGCATAACGTTGGCTCAGGCCTTGCCACAGTTTTCCCTGATCTGGATGGGAAGAAAATCAACGATGCCTTCTTGCTGGCTCGCCCCCTAGTGGAGTTCACCTGGAACATGGTAAGACATCATTTTACATGTCCCCGTTTCACACAGAGACAGTTTGAGTGTTTCCAGCCAATTCAGGTCTAACTTTATCTATAGCCTTCTGCAGTGAACAAATATGTATCTTAAAACATCATCTTCAAACAGAGTGCTGATGAGTGCTGGGAATACTGGCTTCTAATCTGTACACAGATCATCTCCCATCCCAACAACCTGTTTGAGATCATGTCCAAGGAGCCTGTGAAGAGAGAGAGGAACCTTCACAACCGAGTCCAGAGTAAGAGTGGGAAACGTGTGAACACCCGCAGCGGTGTGTGTCTGGTGGGCGAGGATTCGCTGGCGTGTGGTCAGATCAATTTTTCTGCAGTCAGTTACAAAAGACACTCTCAATTTCAGTGAAATTAAATTAAAAAAGAAGGAGCACGGCTGCAGTAAAATGTCTGTTCTTGTACTAGAGCTTGAACATCAACATTTAACCACAAAAACATTGCTGAATTAAGGTTTAAGAGTTGCATAAAGGGAATTGTTTGATGTCTAGATTAAACTTAAATTGATTGAATTCAGTGGAACTGATCCCAGCCAGGTTATGAGAAGGAATGTTTCTGATAGTTTACCCTGTTTATCCACAGATTCTGACTATGAAAACGCCAATCGCTCTGCTGATGTAGATGTGGAGCTCATGGCTTTCCAGTCCATCATTGGAGATGATTACAAAGGTCATGACCTTTCTGTTATCTAAAAAGACACATAATACCAAATAATCTTACTGTAAAGGAATAGTTTGACATGTTGGGAAATATGCTTATTTGCTTTCTTGTTGAGAGCTTTTGAGTTGATAAGAAGTTTGAGACCACTCTCATGTCTGTATGTTCAATATGATGCTAGAGCTAGTAGTGG